TGAAAAAATGGCAGCGAGGCACTTTGAAATAAACAAGTTCAATGAGCTTTAGTTCAAAGTGCCCTGCTGCCTTTTTTTCAGCTTAGGGACATGCGAGGACACTGATGCATGTGAGGCATGGGCATTTTTAATTAGCGCAGCTCTCTAATTAAAGTGTTTGATGCCATGTCCCAAAGCACATGTAAAAATGCCGTATGGGTCCCAGAGCATGTGTAAAAATGCCCTGTACACAAGCAGGGAGGCTGCTTCGATGTGCTGAAATACTAGCAAGTCAGAGCAGACTCAGTTAATCAAGTCCGCTGGAGTGTGGCAACTACCATGCTCTAGCAGCCTCCCATTTCTCGTGTATCAGCTACTCTATGGTACAAAAATGGCAGCAGAGACATTTTATCTAAACTTCTAAAGCTTGTTCAATGAGCTTTAGGTAAAGCACCCCTGCTGCCAGTTTAAAGCATAGGGACATTGATACATGAGATGCTCTGGGTGCTTTTAATTAAAGTGGCCCCCTTCACCCGCACTCCTGGAGCATGTGTATAAATGCTCTAAGGGCATGTCTACACGTGCATTACCATGCTTTAGTTAATGTGCAATAAATCTAGTACTTCCATTGTGAGGTACTAACAAAATGTGCATTTACCTATCTTAATGTGCATTAACCGTTCGACCTCGTCATCCCTTGGGGCGCTCTGGTGAACAAACGTTCCCCCAGATACTGGTGGTCACCCCTGATGAACTTATAGGCGGCCACCAGATCACCCCTGAGCCCGCGCTTTTCCAGGCTAAAGATCCCCATGGCTCTCAGCCTGTCGTCGTAAGGTCTGTTTTCCTGACCTCTGATCATGCGCGTGGCTCTTCTCTGGACTCTCTCAAGCTTCTCCACATCCTTTTTGAATTGTGGAGCCCAAAACTGGACGCAGTACTCCAGCTGCGGCCTCACCGAGGCCGAGTACAAGGGGACAATGGTGTCCCGGGATTTGCTTGAGAAGCATCTATGGATGCAAGCCAGCGTTTTGGTCGCTTTACTAGCCGCAGCATT